GAGTCAAATCATATATAGGTATGGTATTCCTCATTCAATAACAACCGACCAAGGTTTGGTCTTTACTGGGGAGAAGTTTTTAAGCTTCTTGGCAGAGTTTGGTATTCATCTGAACCATTCTTCGCCTTATTATCCCCAAGCTAATGGGCAGACTGAGACAGCTAATAAGATTATTATTGGGATTATAAAGAAAACGATTGAAGGGAACCCAAGAAAATGACATTTGTTGTTATCTCGAGCCTTATGGGCGTATAGGAATAACAGAAATTCTACCACAGGGTTTTCACCATATCAGCTCACCTTTGGACAAGATGTTGTGTTGTCAGCCGAAATTCAAGTGTCATCTGAACATACAAACCTTACTACTGATGAGTTTACTGAGGAATATCAACAAATTATGTTGCAGCAATTGAAAAGTTTGGATGTCAATCGACTCCATGCAATTGATCAGATTGTAAAGCAGAGTGAGATCAAGGTTAAGACTTATGGAAGGAAAGTTTTTTATAGAACGTTTCAAGAAGGAGACCTGGTTTGGAAAACTATCCTTCCTACATATAAGAAGATTGACCAATTAGGGAAGTGGTCTCCGAATTGGGAAGGACCATTTATAGTTCAAAAGGAGATCGGAAATGGTGCCTTTATTATTATAAATCAAGAAGGTAAAAGGGTACATGATTGTATTAATGCTAAATATGTGAAGAGGTATTTTCCTGCCTTTTCAGATAACAAGAACGCATGAAATAATAATTTTATTCAGAACCCGATTACTAAGGGTTCGGACCCAAAAAGGGGTTCATTCATTATCAGATGTTGAGTCATGCAGAGAATTCCTCTCTTCTGAGTCAGAATCTTCATTCTAGTGATTAGGGATTAATTCTGGTTCTTCGTCAACAAGGTCTTCTAAGTTGGGTCGGTACTTTTCCCATTGATCTTGCATCTTTTCTAGATCATAGTCAGTGCGAGCTTTCATGTCTATCACCGCTTGACGCTCACGATCAACAAGGGTGCGTAATCTCGAAAAGGCTGCGCGTTGATTGGAGAATGTATGATCCCAGCCAAGGTCTGGGAGTATGGCTGTCACGTGGTGTTCAATCAAATCCATATGATGATCAATGTCAAGAAGGCGATTTTGTATATCCCGAAGAGTCTCATATCCTTTTAGCACGTTTTCCATCAGGCGAATAACACGATAAATGGTTTTTCTGCCTCGTTGGGAAAATCTGAATTTGAAATCAAATTGTTTAAGTATGCATAACAAGTCCTAGGCATGGCCTCAAACTGGATGATTACCCACGAAGAAGGGTTGAATAACGCCTTGCCAATTGTTTATAGGAACATGAGGACGATTGTGTGGAATTTTAATAAATATTTCAGGCGTGCTCAAGTTTCAATTTGTGGTTAAGAGTTTGTTCATTATTTGACAAGGGACTGCAAATATTTATAAAGGAAATGAGTTTGATTTGTTCCCTAGAGGGTCGGAGTTTTGGAAAGTGATCCTTAACAATAGGAGAAAAAGTTTATTTACGAAGTCAAGGTTTCCAAAATTTTACAGAAGAGACCCTAAAGAGATTTTAATCTGGGACCATTTATCTTCTGTCTTGGAGAGTCGCCTGGTGTTAATAGCCGACTGGTATTGCCTTATAAGTTGGGATCGGGTGTGAATCTTTAATTCTTGGTCCAGGTCGGCTTCATTTTTCTTGTACCACTCAATCAGGCGTTGCTGGTCGCTTTTTTGGCCTTATAGGACAGATTTTTCTTGATGAAGTGCTCTCAATTCTGCTTCATTCTGTTGAAATTGATTCTTCTATTTGTGTTTTGGCGTTAGAGGGCCTTCGAGTCTTCCAGTCGCTTGTTGAATTGATTCCTTGGTTTTAGTCAAGGAAGCCTCCAGACTTATTTGATCCAAATTGGGCAAGGGCGTTTCAGTTGTCAGAAGTTGAGCAAACAAGATGTCATTTCGGAGTTCGGACAGTCGCTCCATCAGCCGGTGAAGAATGGGGCGGCAGCTGATTCTGAAGAAATTTGAAATAGAAGGCCACCAATGGCTTGAAGAAGACCGTCTAGCAAGTCTAATCCCAGGTCGGAGAAAGGTTGATCAACAGCCTGTGCAATTATAGTTCGGACGTCTGTCGGAATTGGAACAGCTGACAAAGGGGCTAGATCAAGACATTCCTGGGAGAAAGGATTTTTATTTCAGATTAACTGAAGCACAAATATCGAGATTTAGTTTGTGAAAGCTTTACTTGCTTCTGGGCAGATCGTGGTCGCAGAAGGTGCCAGGGTTGTTGTGGGTCTGGAATGAGGGGCGACTAGTATTGCAATGGCCGATTCATCGGCTGCTTCAAATGGACGCTGTGGTATTGATCGGGGTCCCTGCATGATGGAAACAGATGAATATTGGCTCTTAGTTTGGAGAAAGGAATTTAGAGTTTTTACCAAGTTGATAGTGGTCTCTGATTCAGAGGAGGGGACTTCTTGTAATTCTTGTAGAAGACCCCTCGGTTGAACAGCTGCGGGTTCTTCTTCCCGCTAGCTACTTCTGGAGGAGGGTTTGCTGCCCTCGGGTCGGCTGCCCTCAGGTTGGCTGCCCTTAGGTCAGCTACTCTCAGGTCGGCTGCTCTTTGGTCGGATGCGTCTAGGACGGCTGCAGCAGGTCCGTCGGGAGCAATTCGGACGACCGCACCAGAGACATCTCTGTTAGTTGGGACAGGCGCCTCGAGAGCGACTGCAGCAGAGGCGGCCGCACCCGAAGCGTTTGCAGCAGAGGCAGATACAGGCGTGGCCATTGGCTCCGCGTTCGGAAGAGACGGATCTGAGGTAACATAAGGCAATCTACCCATCTGTGAGGCAGTCGCCTCACTGTCAGATGAAGCCCTTGTTGTTGCCAGTTCGGCTGGTGAAGGCGCTTGCATTGAGGTCCGTCGTTTGGTCGGGGGTTCAGGTTCGTGAAGTTGGTCGGTTGGTGACTCTGGTGATTTGTTTGGGTTTGAAGCAGCCTGGACAGTCGCCCTGGCCGGGGTCGGACCTAAATATAAGAATGGTGACTAATAAAATGTTAAGGAAAAAATCAGATTAAGTTAGGATTATAGGAACATACCTGGACAAGGTCGGGTCTTTACAGGCGCCCGACCTGATGAGCGGTCTTTTGAAGTCTGTTGATTTTCTTTAGGAAATGGGATAGTTTGAATTTAAGAAACTCGTCTTTTTCTTTGTGGGGGGCCCGATCCGGTGCCTGGGGCGACTGTTTTTCTTCGGGTGTTGGTCAAAGGGGCCGCCCCTAATATTAAAGAGGGCTGCGGTAGGAGGATGCTCAGCAGGCGATCTTTGTTAGGGGCAATTAAGGCCCAGGTGACCGACCACCATTCGAGAAGGACTCAACAGAGTCTGGATAAGATCGGAAGGGAATATAGGAGTTGGAAGTTATGTAATTGGTTAATTGGGATATGTAAGGAAAAATCAATTCAGGGATAACTCTCCCGTCCGGACTTTGGATTATTAGATGTGGATAGGCGATAGGGCTAGGTAAACCTTGTTGGCATCCAAATTGGCGTGCCAAAAACTGAGACTGATAACTTAGGTATAAAACGCCTTGTGGCCTTTCTTGTCAATTTTCTTACTGACAAACAAAGACCTGGGTTTAAGAGCAGCATCCCAAGCGAAGGAGTAAGTAGGATGAGGAAGCGAGTCCGGTTCGGACAAGGGTGATGATACAGGGAATGGCCAAAACAGGTCAAACGCGTAACCAACATACTTTCTGTACATGTAAAATCAGGAATTACTACGGTCATCGGCTAGAATGGCAGTTATGATGGGGTCGGATGCTTGAAGGTTATTGCGACCGAAACAAAGTCGGTTAAGGGCTATTCCTAAATATTTGTCAGGAGTTGGAGCAACAGGGGGATGACCGAGTTAGAAAGCTTCTGGGAAATAGAGACGGAACCACAATTCCAGGAACCAAAAAGAGCCCGATGCGGCAGTATCTAATTTTTTGCCATCATTATCTGTAAGGCGGGTGCTAACCCTGGATAGCCCTTCAAACAGATTTGCAAGAAAGAGAGTACCGAGAGAAAAGAAACGACTTGAGGCTATATGTATGGCCAAGTCAAGATGAGAAAGAAGGACACATTTCGAAGGGGAAATTATGACATACCTACAAAGCCAAAAGAGTAGGAAGGCGACATGCTCACGGTCGGTCAAAGGAGTCCCGGCTGCTCCCTGTTGGTCGGTTAAAAATTTGGTCCAGCCCCATTCCTTTACGACAGTCAGAGACCAGCCCAAGTGGTCTGCATTGGGCTCTTGTCCATTTAGGGCTCCTATTACAGGGTCCTCACCTACAATTGGGAGATGGGCGATCATGGACACATCCATGAGCGTGGGGCCGATGGGGGCTGTGGGAAGGAGGAAGACACCCATCTCCGAGTGCCAAAACACCGACATTTCTAAAAGAACTTTGTCATGTAAATGACATGGGAGAGTAGATAGCAGTATTGCCTGATCGATTTGTTGGCGTTTCCATGATCTCGAAAACGTTCTGCTACCCTTTTGTACCAGGTGCGGTAGGGGTCTTTAGGATCTGTCAGGTGCGTTTTGATACTGTTATAGAGACGGATAGCGTGGTAATCAGGTTGCTTGCTTCCAAGATTTCTCTCATCCGATTGGAATCTTCAGGAGTGGTGCAGTATGGGCGAATGGTAGGAGTGAGCATTTTCGTAGCAGCAAATGCTGTTTCTGGAACTGATCCGTCGAAAGGAAGTGCAGGTATGTATTGATTGGCCATGATTTGGAGTTGCAGAGATTGAGAGACAGCAAAAGCCAACAGCGAAGGTGAAGAGTTTTGTGGCAAATATGGTGTTGCAGTAAGTGGTTGCAGTTGTAGAGGCGGTTTTGCAGGAAGGGGTATTGTTATATATAGATTGCGAACTTCCAAACAGCGATTGAGGAATGGCGTTTGAAAGTCCGATGGCGGCGGGCAAGTTGTTACGTATGAAATTTATAATTAGGTTAAAAATCCCAAGTTAGAAGAAGATGTGGGCCTGTAATTGGGTCTGTTAGACTTTTTAAGGGGTATTTCAAGATAATCGGGTGAACTGGACGTTTTTCCGAGGAAATAGGTGGGTCGGTGAGTCCACAGGTCGGAAAGTCCGTAGGTCAGACGGTCCGCAGGTCGGACGGTTCACAAGTCGGATGATTCGCGAGTCGGATGGTCCGCAGGTCGGACGGTTCACAAGTCGGATAATTCGCGAGTCCGGAGGTCCGTTGTCAGATAAACAAGTCGGAAGGGCTACGGTCAGACAGGCAGGTCGGTTGATCCGCAGTTGGATGAGCAAGTCGGTTGTTGTGGAGGTCGGATGCTGCGGAGAGCGAGTGAAAATAGTAGCTTGGTCGGTTGGGCTACGCGGGTAATAAGACGGTTGAGAACACGTGTCAGCAAAAGAGGAATTAGCAGACGGTTGAGAGAAGGCGTTGTAACCGTTGGGCGACGGTTCCAGGTACTGTTTCAGAAGAATATTAAAGGATTGAGATCTGCAACTGGCAGGGTATCTTCAATCATCTTCAAACATCAGCAAAGTGATTCGGGGATCATCATTTAATTTTCAGTCTATAGCATTTATTTTCCAGTATTTTCTTATGTACTGTACAGTGTTTAGAGATTCCTAATCTCAGACACTAATTATATCAAATTCGAAGATAATTTCCTATTTTCGGATTTTACTTTTTATTGTTGAAAAAACTCATCAACAGTTTGCAATCTAAGTCAGCAAGACAAATTACACTTCACGAACCTTGTGTGGCAAATGAAATCAAATGACGTAAAGAAAATTTGCAAGTACGATCTCACGATGATGAATCCATTTCTCACAACTCAAGTGTGTGTATGCGTGGGCTAGGCTAGAAATAGAATGAATGCTTAGCTGATGTTATGTTTTGTTATGTTACAAGTTTGGAGGCAATTAAGATGACGGGGATGTTTAAAAATTTAATAGTAGGTTAAATGTAACTATTTAAGTTATCAGTTGGGTTAAGCTGGTAACTTTTTAATTGGGTGATGAAGCCAATTAATAATAAGGGATATAAATTATGATTGTGATCCCAGATCAACAATCGATAACGGAAGAAACCTTAGCGATTTTCTCATAAGGTATTGCGTCATAGGTTTAAAGAATACAAATATCTCAATAGTTTGCATATCCGAATCCGACAGAGTTAATGGAATTAGGTCAGATTTATTAGCTTTATTTTATTATCTCAATTATTTTCGACTTAGGGTTGGGTTAAATTTCTGATAATTAGCAACAATTGGTATATGAGTCTTCCGTGTTCAATATTTTATAAGAAAAATTATTCGAAATCAGATCCGCCGCTGTGCGAATATAATCCTGCGTGTTATTGTTGCGTTGGGTTCATTTCAATAGGTGTGCGAATTTTGGTCATGATTTGTTTTCAATTTTAGGAGTTGGTTATTGAATTACAGAGGATGATGCATATTAAATATGTATATATATTAACAATTACCTACTACTACTACTACTACTGTTATCCAGAATTACACATCATATGGCTGCCATATCTATTCGGTTTAGAGCTTAATTTTACCTTGAGTGATTGATGTATAATGAAAATATCAATTAATGACAATGCATTGCTTCCTGCACAGATATTTTGGTATCCTAATTAGATCATCTAATTATTTAATCAAACCTAGTTAATTAATGGAATTTAATTAAGACAAATTGTCTGCTTTCACTCGATGCTTGCACTGATTTTAGTATCTATATTGATTAATCAATTGTTTAATTTAATCATTGATTGGTGTATAACGATGGCCGGTCGAATAGATTGGCATACATATGCATTAATGTATCTACAATTAAATTCATTTATTTTATTTTGGTTGATATGTGATTATAGAATCATATATGTATCTGTCTCTATTGACTATTGTATAAATTCAACTTTTTGAATTTTTTTTTTTTTTTTTTAATGGAATCAGATAAAATATGGTGTGGGATTCTAAAGTACTAAGTACTGATTAGGATTTGATCAATTAATTTCCTTCGCATTTTATAAATTCAGATATGCATATGAGGTGTTTGTTTATTTTTATCTATTTATTTTGGAATAAAGGATTATGTCTTATTCTCTGCGCCAAATAAATTTAATACATGCAGAATTTATTTACTTATTCATTAGTGTTGATTTTATAAAATTGAATATTCATTATGATTCGTTTGATAGTCCGATTAAATTCGGATTACATCAGCATGTATTTTTTATAGCATGTGTTTGTTTAAATTCGACTATAATTACTTAATATATTAATTTATAGTCTCTTTGGGTGACATATTTTTACCGGTGTAATTCCGCTGCATTTAGATTTTCTTGGACTACTTGATTATTTTAAGAAGTCCATAAAATAATTGCTGATGTTAAAATTTTTCATTTGTATCTGATATACATATAAATTTCTTTAAGGTGAATTTAATTAGTAATAAATTAATATAATATATTTTATGAATTAGTTAAAACAGTTATGTTGCTAAAGCAACATCTCCTCCTGTGTAAATCACTTTATTTTATATATTAGAAAGTTGTGTGTAATTTATAACACTGCTCATTGACCCAAAGGCAAGTCAACGTTGTTACATGCATGTTCAATGACATTGAATGCGGTGATAATAATTTGATTATTTGTGTGTGAATAATAGATTTGTTCAAAGACGGAGTATTGTTTGACACGCTACTTTATTGTCAACATTCGATTGTCAAAACAAGTTTATCACCGGTGAGTAAGTAATTTGTTCAAAGAGGATTGCTAATGTTGCTCGGAAACTTCTGAGAAGACTGCTAATTTATTTTATAAACTCACATACGGAGCATTAAGTAGCTTAGAGACATGTGCATTCAGTTGCTAATAAGTATTCTTTTTTTTTTTTAATGGAATTAGACCCATATACATTGAACGTGATTCTGATTCTAATTTGGTTTGAGAAAATTATAAATTCATTAATAATTTTTTTTGCGTTTTGACGATGAAAATCAAATATTTGAAGTTGCTAAAGTAAGCTCTCTTATATGAGATTTTTACTTTATACCATAAGTGTTTATGTGTATTTTAATTCATGTGATTATTCTTCGGCCCAAAGACAGTAAATAATTAATAGATTAAAATATACATCTGCGATAATATGTATGAGACGATTATATGGATTTAACTTATATGAATAATGAGTCATTCCAAAGAGTGATTCATTGTTTGACATTACTTATTGTCCGTATATGATTATTACAACAAGATAATTGCTAGCAATCAATGTTATTGATCCAAAGATTGATCATTGATGTTGCACTTAGTGTCTTGGGATGTGAATGCATTATTATTGAGCTTCATTATGATTCATTTGGTTTTATGAATCTTGACTTGGCATTAATAATAGACCAACCTACTCATACGGCGAAAAATACTGCTCATGGAAGATAGTTGTTTGAGAAGTGGAATAGATCCAACGTCTAAGTCTAATGATCATTAAGAAAAGCACTCCATAAATTTTAGGAGTACGATATATGATGATATTTACCAAAATCGATAAGGTGGAAATGAACATTCTTCTTAAGAGTCTCATTATCATGAGGTATAATGACAAATGTAACATGAGAGACTACATCTTGAACATGTCTAGCTACTAAATTGAGAGCACTTAAGTTAGATCTTTCATAGGACATGTTTGTCCTATTGGTCTTGCTCTTGAATTAATTTCATTTCATTTCATAGACACACCTGATGATGGATTTTGGTGTAACAACTCACATCAGTATGTCTATGCAAGATTACTTCTATTGCCGAAAATCAATTGATGTTGAAAGATACATTTATATGAGTGACGGAAAGAAAGTTAAAATTGAAGTAATTGATAATTTAGATTATTATTAAGTATTGGTTTTTATTTGAATTTGGATGAGATATTTTTTATGGTGCCATCTTTAGTCGAAATTTAATTTTGATCTCTATTTTGAACAAATTCAGTTATTATTGTTCATTTGGATATAAAGTTTTGTCTCTTCAAGAATTCAAAATCGAGTGGAATTAATACATCATTTGATAATAATAATCATTATTTACTTAATAGTCTGACTTCATATTATAAATTAACTATTAAACATATTCATACAGCTTCCATGATTGCGGATCCGCTTAATTACTAAAAGTTCCCACATAAGTTCTATAGTGAGCACGTTACTTGCATGAGAGTGGAACTATATCTTGATATTTCAGTTTAGTTGGAGCTGATTAGTAATGTTCAAATATAGTTAAAGTTACTTTATTTTATAATGCAATATTCAGTATGCATTGTTCAATATTCAGTTTTAATTCAGTATTCAGTTGTTTAGAATTAAAGTTAAGGTGGATCAGTTGGAAATAAGCATATTAAGATCACATTACATAAAATTTCCGTGTTGTGCTTCTGCACTTAATCGAATCTTAGGTTATATTGATGTTGTGACCATTGATTGGTCCCATTGCTATAAATGCAGTGACGGCCGCTTTGAACCGTATTGATGTAATTTATAGATAAGATTACATGAAAGAATCTAATAGTAAAATTTTCATGAGCTCATAAGGTTATTCAATGTACATTTACCCAAGTGAGAGATTGTTGGATTAAAAATCCAATAGTGGGTTAAATGTAACTATTTGGGCTATCAGTCGGGTTAAGCCTATATTAAATGATCTATTAAATTTATTGGGCTTAAATGTATTTAGTTAATGCAGGCCTCCTATGTGCAGAAACCCGATAACTTATTAATTGAGTGATGAGGCTAATTAATAATAAGGGATTTAAATTAGGGTTGCGATCTCAGGTCTAGACGCAACAACCATTCATTTTAATATCTCATCGTGGAAGTAACGACAGAAACCCTAGCGATTTTCTCAGAAGGGATTGTGTCATAGGCTTGAAGGACACAAAACCCTCCATTGTTTACAGATCTGAATCCGACAACACGAATGGAATCAGGTCAAATTTATTAGCTTTATTTTATTATCTCAATTATTTCAACACGACATATCCTTAACTTAGGGTTAAGTTCCTGATAATTTCCACCATGACTGCTATCTGACTGATGGTGACGGACATCAAGTGTGGCAGGAATGCCTTTTGAATGCATTTATGAATTTATTTTTGTTGGAATATATGGGTATTGCGAGAATAAACTCTACCGTGAAACCGAGTCGAGGATGGGTCCTCTTTCCGAAAATTAGATACGCCCCGGTAGTGCCTCCTGTGGCTGGCGTTTTAACCCAAAGACAAAACGGTTTTCGTCTCCAATGAGAGTGACACCTCTAATCGTTGGAGCTCCAACGAACAAAACGAGAGAGGAACTGAGCTGGGGAGGTTGCCGGAAAGCTAGAAGAGATGAGAGAAGAAGGAGAGAGTTGTTTGTTTTGGTGTTTAGAATGAAGAGGGAATGCCTTTTATATAAGCGTCTCCACTCGACCAAAATGACAGAGGATCAATTACGATCATAATTATGACCTTAGTTATTGATGTAATTTATTCTAAATTCAAACCTTCCATTTGAAGCAATCGTAATTGATTCTAATTACAAACTTTCTGTTTGTGACGATCGTTATTTATTCTAATTTCAAACTTTCCGTTTGAAACGATTGTAATTTATTCTAATTTCAAACCTTCTGTTTGAGATTATAATAAATCTATCCAACGAATAATATTTTATCCAAATAATACTGCGACTTAGGCCATATACCCGGGTTTAATTTGGGGTTGCACAATTTAGTTTGTCTCGAGCCAGACAAAATAGCCAAAATATTAACCAAACCCCATACACAATAAATAAATAATATTTCTTTCTTTCTTTCAAATTAATTTAATTAATTTGGTACACTGGCCCATTGCATTTTCACTCACAAAATAATCGATTAACAAAATAACCGATTATCCAACAATCACCCACATGAGTGGAAATGCCCATAAAGGACAGAAACCCAGCTCAATCCCTGTGAGACATTGACACATCAAGACAAGTAGTTTTTGGCTTTGAACCTTCCATAGTCAACATTACAGAGTGTACTAGTGGCCCAGTTGACATGATGCATTAAACTGTTCTACCTCTGAGTGAACTTAGTCAATAATATTGACGTGTCGCTACCCAGTCTCAACTTTGTTCTCACGTTTTGATCCATTTTGGTCATAGATCTCGTCTTTGAATTCATAAGTGTTTCATTTGAAGCGGCCTACACTTCACATTTATATAGGTAATACTATATCAAGGTATCTAACTTACACCTTTAGGATCATTAAGAGTCATTTACTCAACTTCACAACTTTTGCACATTATAACACTCATTGCTTTTCAGGGAATTGTAATTGAGTGTTCATGCCGGACTCTCACAGCTTAGTTTTCACATTGAACCAAGGTTTGGGATTTCCAAGTGATTTGGTTGGGTTACCACTGTAATTGTCTCTATCATATGGATTTCAAACCCATTCCCTTTAGTAGTTTGTACATTTGATCTCTCTGCAACCCTTTAGTTAGCGGATCTGCTAGGTTTTCTATTGATTTTACATATTCAATAGTCAAAACTCCACTGGTGATCAAATTCCTTACAGTGTTATGTCTACGTCGGATATGTAGGGATTTACCGTTGTAAATTTCATTCTTAGTCCTTGCTATTGCAGCTTGGCTATCGAAGTGAATCATTACGGGAGGTACAGGTTTAGTCCAGTATGGAACATCAT